GGGCCCCCATCACCCCAGCTGGCCTGCAGCCCCCTCCCCCACAGCCAGCTCTTCCCCCTAATGGGGCCCCCCCCCACTCCAATCAGGGGGCAAGGGCCAGCCTGCCAACCACCCATGGCCCCTCCCACAGGCCTCGGGCCTCCAATTGGCCCCCCCCCACCCCATTCTGGGGCATGGCCAGCTGGCCCACCGCCCATAGCCCCTCCCCATGGCCAGCCCAACCCCCAATCAGCCCCCACCACCCTGATTGGCCCGTGGCCCCTCCCCCCAGCTGGCTTGGCCCTGATGGGGCCCCAATCAGGGCAGGCTGGCCAGCCAACCTCCCGCCATCTCCTCCTCTTGACAGGCCCGGCTCCGATCCATCCTGATTGGGGCCGGGCCGGCTGGACCCCACCCGTGCACGAATTCGTGCACTGGGCCTCTAGTTATTAGATAGTAGACTATCACTAAAAGAGGACAGATTAGGGTTGTAAATAAAGAGAAGAATATATTATAAATAATAATTATAAGGTGAATACTGTTGCTATGATAGAAAATTTTTGCATAGTTTCCAGAAACCTTGCCTTTTTTTTTTTTTTTTTTTTTTTTTTTTTTTACTTTGGGTAAGTCATTTTTCAAAATTAGGAAACATACAATTCATTGTTGGATATAAAGTTTTTCCTGGTATAAATTCTGCGAAATTTGTGTTAATGTCCTAAACCACAGTTTTAGAGCAAATGCTGAAATGCTGAATTTTTACATGGTTATTTCTTTTATTGACTTCTGAAAAAAACTGAAAGCATAATATTCCATTTTAGCTCAATGACAACTGTTCTGCCATAATCTAAATACAATACAGTATTTCGATTAACACTAACTTTAAAGATTCCTTTGCATTTATTTTATCTGTCAATCCATTCTCAGCATCCTTTTTTCTCTCGCAAAAAAAATAAGATGATTTAGTGCCTAGAAACCTATAGAGTCTATTTTTTGAATCTTCAAATTCCAATTCTTTCTCATTTTTGAATAGCTTCACTCCTACTAGTTGAAATACCTTATGGTTCATTAGAACTTGGCAAAGATGAACTCCTTTAAGACGAGAGAGATCATTACTACTTAGGCACATATTTTGCATAAGATGACTTAATACTACATCAACATCATCAGAACCAGTAAAACAGTCTTTGTATGTTCATAAATGATGCCGCCTCCTTTTTACTTCCACTTGAGTCTGAAGGGAGTGAATAATACCATCCCATAGCTGAGTAGCTTGAAAAGACCAGAACATCCTGGAAATTAAAACAAAAATACCAAACACATACTTAAATTACACAAAATTATTAAAATATTTAAGTTTTTCAGTTTTGACACCTATGCTTTTTTTAAATCCTCACCTGAGGATATGATTTTATTGACTTTAGAGAGAAAGAAAGGGAGAGAGAGAGAGAGAGAGAGGAGGGAGAGAAAGAAACATTGAACGGTTGCCTCCTATATTTGCCCAGACTGGTAATGGAACCTACAATCTTCTGGTGTTACCGGGATAATGCTCCAACCAACTGAACCACCAGGCCAGGGCAACCTTATGCTTTTTTGTTGTTGTTAATCCTCACCCAAGGGTATTCTTCTGCTCCCCCTGATCCAGGGTATTTTTTCCATTGATTTTAGATTGAGTGGAAGGGAGGTGGGGAGAGAGAGAGAAACATCCATGTGCGAGAGACACATGGACTGGTTGCCTCCCCCATGATCCGGATGGAGCCTGCAACCGAGGTACACGCTCATGATCCTTCAGTCCCTGGGCTGATGCTCTAATCACTGAGAAACTGGCTAGGACAACCTTACGCTTTTTTAATGGCATATCTGCTGCCATTGTTAAGTTTCTACTCCTCCAATCTTATCTATAACTAGAGGCCTGGTGCACAAAAATTTGTGCACTCGGGGGGGAGGGGGGTCCCTCAGCCCGGCCTGTGCCCTCTCGCAGTCTGGGACCCCTCGGGAGATAACGACCTGCTGGCTTAGGCCTGCTCCTGGGTGGCAGAGGGCAGGCCCAATCCCTAGGTGCAGTCCCTGGTCGGGCTCAGAGCAGGGCCGATTGGGGAGTTGGGGCGCTGCCCCCTGTCATGCACAGAGCTGTCTGGGCGTGATGGATGGGGTAGGGCTGGAGTGGGGTGGAGAAGGTTAAAAGTCTATGAGTGGTGGAGACAATGATATTTTCCAATGGACCATCTGCCATTAACCTTCATTAAACAAGTGGGTTAGAAGAAATAGGAACTTGTGCTCAAGAAACTTGCCATCTCATACTTCAACCCCTTGTAGTTCTAAGTGTAGCCTGTGGACCAACAGCATTGGCATCTGGGCATTTACAAGAAACGCAGATTACCAGGCTATTCCTGAACATACAGACTGCGTTTCAGCAAAATCCCCAAATGACTCGTGTGCATATTAAAGTTTGAAAATCACTGCTTTCCTGGACTTTCCAAGAGAGTCGTTCGGAAAGCCCCATCACGGATCTTACTTGGTCCAGACCAGAGAGGGCAGGTGCACAGGGAAGGGGCGGGGCCAGGGAAGGGGCGGGCTCAGGAAGGGGGGACCCCAGAAACCTGAGGTGCCAGGGCCAAACCCACCGCTCCACTGAGCCGCCCGCCCCCAGATCCTAATATTCGGTTAGGTTACCTGTCCTCCTTTTCCGGCAGAAGCCACTTGTACGGCTTACGAAACTCGACCCGCTCCGCCCTGGGCCGGGAAGCTCGCTCCGGCTGCCGAGGCTGCGAAACCGCGGAGTCAAAAGAACCGCCATTCGCTCGCGCGCCGGCCCCGCCCCCGGCCCGAAGCCCCGCCCCCACCTGATCCTCGGGGGCGGAGACCAAGGTAGCCCCCGCCCCGCCCCTTCCGAACCAGCTGCAGTCCATCTGGAGGAGGGTACAGCGAATAGGCGACGGCAC